TCCAGGGAACTCGAAAGACCCCGAGCTCTGGGCCTCCGGGTCAGTCCTCTGTTCACATAGCACCACCCAAAGGAGCCACAGAGGGCCAGTGCGGAAGCTCCCCCACGGTCCACATGAGGCCACGTTCCAGTCCTTTGGGGCAAGCATGGGCCTCCCCAGCCCGGCCCGGGGAAATGACTTACGATTAGGATGTGCCTGCACCTGTGTGCCTGGAGGGGGCTGGGCCAGGTGCCCGCTCAGATCTCTCCCAGAGCTACAATCCAAGTGTACATGCGCACGCGCACGCGCACTCACACACTCACACACACACGGTATTCTCCCTAAGCTGATACCTGATTGGGTCCCGCTGATCTGATCTTGGACCATGGTTCTGTCTCTAGATCACTACAGAACTCCCTTTGCTACCCTGGAACAAGGCGGCAGGAGGAGAGAACAGCTTTTTTGTGTCTTTAATTAGGCAAGAGGCAAAAACAAAGTCTGGCTGAGAACTACCACTTGAAGCTTGGCTGATGCCAAAACAGTACTGGCTCCCTGCGCTTGGAGAAGTGAGAGCCACCGAATTTGGGGACACACTTCGAGATGATGGGTGGGTGGGGGGAGGCAGGCAGCCACCTCACTCCTGGAAAGGAAGCTTTGGTTGCACCTTGGCATTCAGCGCTGCCCACTGTACATACCAATTCCAGACACATACCCTTTTTTCTTAACCAGATCTTTATTGTTGGGGACAGGTAAAAAAAAATCTCATCTCTGTTGTGAAAATGGGTAGAATCGGATCTGGAGGTCATTGTGGCGAGCACAAGATCTGGAACCCCAGGGTGGCATTTTTACAGCCCACCTTCCTGCCTCAACCTGCTGGGGCGCGGGTTTCCCTCGTTGCTGACGGAAGCCCTTGAAGAGATCACAGCCAGAGTTTTAACCTGCTTCCAATTAGTGACAAGAATTAAGGTATTTTGGAGCTGCTTAGTGGGAATTAGGAAGCCACCCACTCCGTCTGCATCAAGAACCTTTAGGATCTCTGGCACCACTGAGACAGGGTTTTGCTGGCACTGGTGAAGTGGTCCTCCCCCAGCGTTTCCCCTCAAAGCCGCCATATAAACCTAAAGCTTTTTTGTAGTAAACCTTCCCACTGATCCTAAGCTACACACTCACTCTCAGAGGGGAATTCTGGTGGTAGGGAGCCCGTTGCCCTTAGTGGCAAGTAGTTCAGTCAGCGCCGTAAGGCCAGAGGACAATCACAGATGACCTAATTTTTCTGCCGCAGGGACTTACAGGGACCCCTCACTGGACTCTGTTCCTTCTGCACCAGAAGAGAAGTAGTTGCTGAGAGAGACCACTTTTTCTCCAAGGCTATCATGATACGGGACACAGGCAGAAATCCAAAGAAGCCCATCTTCCAAGTGAGGTGGAGCTCACCTTGTCCCCGCATCCACCGCACACCCAGAGGAGACACAGGCGGGGTTTCCAGAGAAGCCCCTAGCCCAGGCTAGAGCTAGGGCTGAGGGTCTCCAGCTATTGCCTGTTCTTCACAGGGAGACCTGCGTGGGATTCCTCGTTTCTGCAACTGGCCTCCTTGGGCTTCAGAGCACTTGTTCCCCTGTGGGGAGGGAATGAGCGCCAGGGTCCACAAGGAGGCCTGTGACCAGAGAATCCACCCTCCGACAGCACAAGTGGAACCAGGAGAGACGGCAGCCAGAGCTCCGGCAGGGATCTGCCTCTGGTGCTCTACGCCCAAGGAACTCCTCGGCTTCAGGTGACCAGTTCTCGATAATTCTGGAACACAGCTACTAAGGTATCCAAAGAAAGTCAAGAGGATCTTGTATGCTCCCCCCCAACCCCCTCCCCAGAGCCCAGCACTACAAGCAAAAAGATCTCTGTTATTAAGCACAGGAAAGGCCAAGTCGTTGATGATGTCCAGAGTTGCCTGCTTTATTTCTTACTAGGTGGTTGCATTTCAGGCTTGCGCCACCAAGTAACTGTCTAATTACCAACTAACTTTGTGCCTCTGAACTACTCGTCAACAATCCAATTCAGCAAGCAGCAGTGGCGTCAACAGCTGGGGAGGGGGCCGGGTTTTCCAAATCGGTGGTCTTGGCTGACAAGTGGAGCCAAGGGTAAGGCCTGTGACCGTATGAAAGACCCTAACGCCTGGTCGAGAGAGGCTCAAACCCTGTGAACCCCTAGGCAAAGCCCTCCACCCCAAGTGCCAAGGACACAACTGTTATTTTTCTTCTGTGAGAGCCAAGCTACTGTGGATCCTAGCCGAGTGGATCCAAGGCCTACTTTTAGTGGACAAGTCCTCTGCTCCCACTGCCACCCTATGACACAGCTCCTTGTGCAGGTTCTTAGGGAAAAGCTAGGCTTCTGGTAATTTCTTGTCTCTTTTTAGTTCTGCTTTGAAAAGAAAAGAGGGATGACGGGTAACCAAAGGCGGACACAGGCACCCGGGCAGAGCCGCAGTGGCCCCAGGCCCAGAGCTGGGCCGAGTCAGAGGTCTGCGCTCTCCTCTAAGGACACAGGGCTGGGTGCCTCTCGGGAAGCTGTCCAAGGGGGAAGAATTTATGAATAAAATTCCAAGACAGTAGAGGCTGTTCGTACGAGAAGGCAGAAACTTGGAGAAGGTAAGATCCAGGAAGAAAGACGTAAGGAAAACACGAGAAGCTCTTTCTTACCACGTGGTAGGAGCTCGGAGGAAGCAGTTACTACACGAATCGTTACCAGAGCTAGTCCTTTTCTCCCCAAGAAGGAGCACGAGCTTCCTTCGCGATCTTGCGATCCCCTGGCCCGAGAACGGGCTGCCAAGCCGGTGTTTTTCCCTCACACCGAGAGAGACGGACTCACTTAGGACCAAGGCCGTTCCCGTTAGCAGCTCCGAGCGGAGGCTTCGCGAGCCCGAGGCCCTTTCCCTGCTCCACCCGCACGTACGGACGTGCGTCACTGTGTCACTGCGCTGGCCTGGGCCCTGTCCCTTCATGCTCGCTAGGCGCAGGACCAGCAGGTACGTACTTCACCGAGAGCCCGTGACGGGGTGCGCGCTGGTCCCGAGCAGGGTCTCCAGACACGGCGGGTTCTTGTGCTGCGGAGAGGCTGTGCACCTTAGGGTGCTGGCTGAGGAGTTAATGCAGAAAACAAGGCACCACAGAGAGGTTGGACACTTGGGTTGTGTGATTCGGGACACGCTGGAAAAGTCCAAGGGTGGAGGGAAGGAAGGGGAGGAGGAAGAGGAGAAGACCAAGTTTTAAATAACGTCTCCTGAGGCTGGAGCCCCCTAGATGGGCTCTGGTTTGAGCTTTTCTGCTAGGAAGTCATTCACAAAGGCCTCCACAATGGCGGGGGTGATCTCCTCCACGTCCATCACGTACTTGGCCCGGGCTGACATGTCCAGAATGGTGAGCAAAGGGGCAGCCTCCGGCAGGTTGGTGTAATCGCGCAGGGAGTCAGTCATGTCATCCTGGAAGTCACCAGAGGGAGAGAACACGAGTAAGTCTTCCAGAAAGAGGGTAGAGAGATCCCCCCCCGCCCTCCGACGGCATGGAAAGCCGCCACTCCAGTGCCCCGAAGAGTGGGTGGCCCTCCGGGAAAGACGGGCTCTCAGAACAGGGAGCAGTGGACTCGACCCTGCCTTGGAGAATTCTCTCTGCCTCTCCCCAGACCACCAGACAAGTCCTCTTTCTTCATTAGCACAAAAGCAACTTCAGCGTGTCCTCTGCTGGCTAACAATGTGTTGTCCTTTAATGACTTCCTTTTGCCGTTACCTCTCAATTATTTGCAGACCCACTGTGGATGTCTGAGGCCAGTCTGGACTTCCAGCTCTGGAATGATGTGAACAGAAACGGCTCACTGTCCCCCCCCTGCCCCCCCCCCCCGAGGTTCAGGGGGGCAGGAGCTGCACAGTCAGTTCAGAAGACTTCCACAGGGGCCTGTACTGATCATACATTCCCACGGACTGTCCAGGTGAATTTCCCTTATTAAGGATAAAAGCAAACCCAGAAATCCAAAGACTAGTGCAAGAGTTTGTAAGGGAGCAACGATCTGAGATTACCTCTCAGGCTACCGCCCCCCATTTGGTAGAGAGCAGGAAACGGACTCCATACACCCACCCCGAGGCTAGGTCACTATAAAACACACGCAGCCTTCTGAACTGGATGAAGACCCAAGTGCCTCTGCACAGGAAGGGCTTGGGGCATTCCTGGCCTTAAATGCTGGTGAGCAGGAGGCACGAAATCTACCACTCACTGGTTTCTCAGACAAAAAAAAACACATTCCTTTCTCAAAGGGCAGATCTTTAGGCAGATGATTAGAAATGGCATGCACTTCCAGCAATGATGGGTGATTCAGCATCTCTGGCACTGTTGACCCCACCCAGGCCCTCCGTGTGGGTTAATAAACGATCTTCATGATAAAGCAGAGGGGAGGCACCTGGACGACGACGACTGTACATCGAATTCCCATTAGGAGGCCTGAGCCAAGCTGAGCACAGTGCTGGGCGCCCCTCCCCTCTCCCTCGGAGCAAACCACAGGGAGATGAATTTTAATGTCTACTAAGGCTTCAGATGGGATGACTTCTGCCTGTCTGAGCAGGAGGGCTCACGACAAACACCCTTAGCCCTGCGAGGAGTGGGAGAGGGCCAGAGTCCTGGCTCAGAGGTGCCCCGCCAGTGCTCGATGACCCAGCACCCCGTGCCCATCCCCTTCCATGCCACCTGGCTTCTGAGCATGAGGCCAGAGAATTGGACCAAGAGAGCTGCCGAGGTCAGGAGCCCAGGTGAAGTGCACAGGAAGGACAGGACAGCCAGGCGAGGAGCTGGACAGTGGATGACTCTGTCAGACCCTCCTCTGTCCTGGTGTAGGCATCCTGCCCCTGGGGCCTGGCCACCTGCCAGACCATGTGGACAGAGGAGTGAAAACACTACTTGTGGAGTCCCACTGACCTCACGTTCAGTCTTCTGCACCCCCTACTTAACGTGTGGCTTTGATAAGTCACTTCTGTGGGCCCTGGCCTTGTCCCCTGTGAAATGGATTCAAGAACGGCTCGCATGGGGCAGGTGCTAGCCAGCAGGTGAGCCAGCAAGGACTCACAGCCCGGCCGACCGACCAGAGCTGGGACCGGACCTGGGAGCTGTCTGGCTCTCTCCAAGCCTCGCTCTCCTCATCTGTGAAACAGAATGACGCCATTCCCAGTCCGAGAGGTGAGGAGCAAATGGGAGGGTGCCGGGCTCGCTCCGCTTGCTGCCTGGTGCATAGAAGACCTGCAAATGTGCCTTTTCAGCCACGTTCCTAATGCACTTACTGGAACTCCCCAGCCCCACCCCTGCCCCTGGCTGGGCCCCTTCTGTTCCATACCCATCTTTTCTCTCACAGCCATTTGAAAGGGGTTAGAGTTTAATATATTCAGAGCGGCTTCCATTTGTGCTTTGTGTGGAGCGGGCTTGTATAGCCCCAAGGCAGGGCCCTGTGAACCTGCTTTGTTCCCTCCACCCCACAGCAGAGAAGGGTGACTTCAGCTGCCTGCGAGGGGCCCAAGGGGCCTGGCAGGGCTTAGCAGGGGTGGCTATTGAAGAGGTGATGAATGGGTGGTCATTCAGGGTGTCTGGCCGCGCTGCCTCTCGGGGGAACCAAATAGCACAGCATGAAGTGAGTGCAGGGCTCTGACCAACTGGGGATGCTGATGGGTGGAAACAGGGCAGGGGGCTTCCAAAAGTGTGTCTGTCAATAACCAGCTTCTGGCCGGCGCCCGGGGGTGGAGGGGTGGCGGAGCATGCATGGACGGGCTTCCTGGGGGTGGGGACTGAGCCAGAGTGGCGACAGCCATCTTGCAGGGATCCCCGCGTCAGCAGGACAGAGGCTCCTGCACCTGTGGGAGGCGGCCCCAGCTGAGCACCCGGCCTTCTCACCCTGTGGGAATTCCTCTGCACATGTCCATCCCAGCTGGAGGCCTTCAAGGGACAGGCCTGGGGTGAAAAGAGATTGGAACAGCGGCAGTGTCCAACCTCAGCACTCTCTCCGGGGCCGGCTGGGGACATGCAGGTCTGAGCTGTGGATGCCTGCCATGGGAAGAGCCCACTTTGCAGGCCAGGGCCGAGGGACTAGCCAAGCAGACGTTTTGTAAAGCGTCCAGGGCCTGGTCTGCACCCAGCCAGGAGGGAGGGAGTGCTGATGACCATCTCTGTGGCTGCCACTCTTCCTAGCAGCCTGGGGGGGGGCGGGTAGAGGTGCAAGAGGCAGCCCCTTCCCGGGAGGGCACCCTGCGGCTCTGAGTGGCAAACAAGGCAGGAATGTACAGCAGTGACCCGAAATGGTTTTCCGTGCGGAATGACACACCTTTTCATGCCACACGTGTCTGTGGGTTCTCCACCCCAGATCCCGGGGCTCCTTCAAACATCCCCTAGAGCCGCATCACTCCTGTCCCAAAAGTTGGCCCACTGAGCAGCCAGCGGGCCAGGTCCCAGTGGCACTCACCTCCCCCGCCACAAAGAACAGAAGTGGCGCCTCCTCCTCTTTGGCTTTGTACTTGGCAATGATCTTCTCGGCTATTGGCTGGATCAGCTGCTTGGCTGCCTCAGACTCCCCATCATCCTCAGAATCTGTAATGGGGAGAGAGAGACACAAGAGGCACTGGTTTGTGGAGCAGATGGAGTGGCGCCCCCTGAGGGAGCTGGGTCCTGGGCCTGAAACGCCCATCTGGGCAGCCCCTGAATGGAAACCAGATTTCCCCTGGGACACAGGCCCCGCCTCCGGGGTACGGGAGGGTTGTGTCCGCGGCGCGTGCACACCACCACACTGGGCTCCTCCCCGAGTGTCATTAATACCCCAGGTGCCACGATTCTTTCCACCGAATTCTGCACAAACTGGCCTTAGAAGCTGAGCTTCCTCGAAGCCAGGACCTGAGGCCCTTGTAGTTTTTCTCTCAATCACAGAGCCACAGAATGACCTCGCATCTGATTTCCTACTGAAAATGGCAGAAGGGGTGGTGGCGGGGGGTTAGGACTGCAGTCCCGTCAGCAGCTTTGTGGCAGTGGGGTGACACCGGGACCCCTGGAAAGCCAACTTCACAGCTGGCCGGACTTGCCTGGGAGGGGATGGACTGCTTGATGGGTGCTCCAGAGCCCCCTTTAGTCATTTCTTGCCTCCAGTGAAAGAGCAGCATGGGGGCAGTCACACCCCGGGGCCCTGGGCATCACTCCTGCAGGACCCTGTAACCCAGAACAAGAGCAACTGCCCAGGCGTCAAAGCGGGGAAGGGGAGGCAGGCAGCAGGATTTTCACCCAGCAATGCCTCACTGCCCCAGGGGCCCGCAGCGTGCAGACGCGGCAGGACGTATTCCTGATCCACGTCTAACCCGTTCTGCAATGCTGGGAACTCGCTTTGCCTCTCTGGGACCTCTCTACCAACATCTACAGAGGGCCAGTGAGATGCAATTGTCCCCCAGTTCAGGACTGTTTCCCAGAGGCCCCGGGATGTGGGTGTGTGAGCCAGCGGCCAGCAGCAAAGCCCTGAGGACAAGGACTCCCCAAGGCCATCTTTCCCCAGGAGACCTCTGTTCTCTGAGCACAGGGACCAGCATGCAAGTCAGTTTGTGTAAGAATTCCCATGAGTCTGCATATTGGCGCCCCTCGTGGAGGCCCCCACACCCGATTTCCAGAGCACCTCCCTCACCAACCCCATCAGTCTAAGTGGGTATGGTGGCATCTCAGCCATGGTCCTAGAACCCCAAACTATTTTGAGCTGGAGCTGAGTAACACGTCCCAAGGCAGAAGGTGAGGTGGCCCTTGGCCAGTAGTCGCTCCGTTTGCAAAAGGAACAGGGGTCATCCCACAGGGCTGCAGGGAGCCTGGAGTGGACGTTCTGGTGTCTTCCTGCCCCGCAGAGCAGTCACCCACTGAGCAGAGAGCGGGCCGACTGAGAGGGGCACCGGCCACAGAGATGCTGCCCTGAGGCTGGGAGCGGGGGGCCTTTGCTCAAGGGGGCCTGGCCCCTGCAGCTGCTGTGCTCGCTGCCCGCCTCCTTCCAACAATGGGTCTGGTCGTGGGGGCCGGACTCCCGCCTGACCTATTCTTCCCAGCTGGCAGTCCAGGAAGGCAAGCACAGCGGCAGCTCCCAGAACCCCTCCCGCAGGGGCAGAGCCATGAATAAATCATTGGGGTCAAAAGCAAGGCTGCTGGGAGAGACAAAGGCCCAGGCTTGGCATTGTTGGTGACAGAAAGAAGCTGCAGGGACGGACATCCCCCCCTACACACATGAGGTCCGTGACGTCCAGCCCACCCTGGGGCTCCTGCCGGGCTTCCTACCTACAAACAGGACGAGGCAGGGGCCCTCGTTGAGCTGCACGGCGTTGGAGTCGGAGAGCTCCAGCACGGGCTTGGGGTGCCACGGGAACTCCCTGCAGTCCTCATCGTTCAGCACCTCCACACGCCCCTGCCGCGTGATCACCTCCCCGTGGGGGTCCAGCACGATGAGGGTGGGGATGCCTGCAAGGGAGAGAGAGCTCGCTTGAGAGTCGGGAGGTGCTGGGCCGGATTCCAGGCTCAGCCACTGAACAGCCACAGGATTCCCTTGCCACTTCTGCAGGGAAGTCGGCAACTCACTTCCCCTCTCCAGGCCTCAGCGTCCGGCAATGTGAATGCACGACAGTTCCCTCCTTCTCCCACTTTGTAAAGATCAACGAGGTGGTGCATTTAAAGAACTTAGCACAGGGTCTTGGCACATAGACGCACTTAGTAAATCCTCATGAGATCTCAAAGAAGCAGAAGACACCCCTGCCACCTGCAGGGGACCTAAAACCTAACCGATGTGGTGTGAAAACACCCTCCCAAGCCAGCACAGATCAACCCGGGCAGTGGGCGTCCGCACACAGGCAGGCCACCCCGCCAATGGGAGCAAAGGGGCCAGAAGAGGGGAGGAGCCTGGGGCAGGGGCTGCACACAACGGGACAGCTGGCTGCCGGTGAGCCTGCGACCCCACCCCCATCTCCAGCCCTGCAGCCTGGGGAGGTTCTAGTACCCGCTCTGAGGGGGACAGTCCCTGGACGGAGCACGCTGACTTTAGAGTCCGGGGCTGGAGTAAGAAATGCGACACAGAACTCTGGGCAACCCACACACATCCCCAACCATAAAGCTCCAAGTGAAAAACCAGAGAAAACTCCATCCTGGGTTACAGTGGCATTTGGGATTTCTACCTCCTTGCTCTTTGTACCCCATTGCCCGCTGTCTCTCCCCCAGCCAGGGTCCCCCCTACCAACCACAACCCTTAGCCACGGCTCTGCCCTTTTGGAGACACTTGTCTCTCCGCTGGAGCAGCTCCCCTCCCCCAACCCCCTCTGCCCCGCCCCCAACCAGCCACCTCTCCTCTGGAGCTGACCAGAGCTTTAATTTTATATGGGCCAGTGAAAGCCACAGCAATTTAATATTTATAGATTCCAAAGTATTCAGTGATAATTTGCTCCACTGACATTTCACTTCTCTGTGGGGGGGGCGGGGGAGGGGACAGGTGTCGAGGCACCAGGAAAATGGCTCTAGCGTTTTGTAACCTGGCGCGGCTGCTGGCGCAGCAGGCATGCAGTGGTGGGCCTGTCTTCAGAAGGACTTAAACAAGTCCATTATGTTCACACCTATTAGAAGGAAGTGGCTTGGCATGTCAGAGAACAGGTCCAGAGAGAAACGGGCTCCGGAGAACTGTCATTCCCACTGCATCATGTACAGACACGTGCAGCCGGGGCTCCTGGGGGCTTTTAGGACATTCTCAGGGCCGGCCAGGCCTCCTGAATTGTGTGTCACACAGAGCACAAGAGACTTGGGGCGTTTCCAGCCTCATCCTTAGAGCTGCATGCCAGCCTCCAGAGTCTGCGCTCCCCATCCCCGAGTATGCAGCCGGGCGCCGCGACAGGCCAGCCGGCTGTGGGCCAGTGCCTCCCGTCGCCATGCCCCATCTCAAATTTGCTTTGGCGAAGTCCTTTCATCAGAGCTGCTGTTCTTCCGACACTGGGCAAGTCCAAGCGCGGGGTTAAAGCGGGGCCTGCCCACAGCTACGATTAGACAGAGCAGTTGGCCTGTTTGTAGCCCAGACGAGGGATGCTGAGTTGGTCTGTGGAGGAAGAGCAGGCCGAGGACAGAGAAGGGAAGAAAAGCAAAACCTGCAGGCAAAGAAACCCACTTGGTTTCTGATGTGGCGCCTCAGTTTCTCCAAGGGACTC